CCACTGAACCAAACTGGTTAGGGCAGATTATGGGATTTTAAGGCTGAGTGATTCTAGGAATCATCTTTTCTATATCATTCATTTTACTGATGAGGAAATTGTGGTTATTATTTGTTGTGGAAAGTACTACTACTTCCTCTTATTTGCTTCTAAATAACCACTCCCAGGTTTCAACTTCAGTTCCGTTCAATTAGTCTTTATTAAGCATCTATTAGACGCCAGGCTCTCTGCAAGAACTGGAGATACAGCGACGGAGCAGACATCATTCCGGCTCTCAAGTTGGTTATGGTCAAGGGCCCTGGACTCTAGGGGAAAAGGACACACAGAGATAACAGCCACTCTGTTTGATAAAGACAGGGATGGGGTGAGCATCAAGTACTGAAAACACAGAAGAAGCACCCCTAATCGGGACTTGAGGAACTTGAGGAAGGCTTCCCAGAAAGGAAACCCACGAGATATATCTTGAAGGGCAAAAAAGAAATGTGTAGGTGAAGATACAGGGGAAGGGTGTGCCAGGCAGAGGAACAGCATGAGCAAAAGCATGGCGGTATGAGGTCGCATGGTTTATCGGAGGAACGATAAGAAGCGGGTGTTTCTGGAGCTTAAAGAAGGATGTGGTGAGGAATGAGTGTGGAAAGGAGGGCAGGGTCCCAGTTGGCTGACACGGAGCTGGTATTGCCAAAGGCTCCCTTCGCCTTTCTGGGTCTGGTGAGCGTGCCCTTGTTCACCTTCCCTGTGCTCTCTGAGCTAAGAAACTCCACCACACTCCTTAGCCGTCATCTTTATAGACGGAAGAGGCCTGATTCATGGGAAGAGCCCATCCTTCAAGGTGTGGCTTCAATTCCACCACCTCCATGAAGCCTTCATTTACTACCCTCTGCATTCAATGAACTCTATTGTCTATACCGCACTTTGGGAATCTCTGGTGTGGTTCTTTATCACCCCATGTGAGTATAGCTTATCTCTACAGTGAGCTCATAAGCTCCTGAGGGCTGGCTGTGTGAGTCACATGGCAATGTTAATAAGTACCAATAAGTCTGAAACCTATTGATCTGCATTTCAGAAAAGTGCTTGGGTCTGGGGGGCAGACAGATCTGGATTTGATTCTTGCTATGCCACTAGTTACTAGTTAGTACCTGCGGGGAAGTTTTTAATGTGTCTAATGTCTCAGTTTCCTCATCTATAAAATGGGTGATTACGCTGAAATCGGTTTGGCTCAGTGGATAGAGCGTCGGCCTGCGGACTGAAGGGTCCCAGGTTCGATTCCGGTCAGGGGCATGTGCCTTGGTTGCGGGCACAAGGCAGCTGATCGATGTTTCTCTCTCATCGATGTTTCTAGCTCTCTATCTCTCTCCCTTCCTCTCTGTAAAAAATCAATAAAATATATTTTTTAAAAAATGGGTGATTACTCCAATTCATGGGTGTTTTGAAGCTATGGTTTTAGCTCCCAGGGGCTAGGGAGAGCATTGGGGGCTTCCCAACAGTGAGGACTGGGCCTGCAGCAATAGTGGGCAGAGACGTGAGAGCAGTGGGTCTGTACGGCAGGATGGAAAACCTGACGTGATCAGGCCCTGTGGTTGAGTGGCTCCCAGTTGACTTACTAACCCGTTAAGCACTTTACAGTGACAAAGTACTTGGTTTGTGCTAATTCATTGAAGCCGAGGAAGTTAAAATCCTGAGAGATGAAGCAATTGGCCCAAGGTCACAGAGCAAACAAGTGGCAAAGCTTGTGCTGGTGAGAGGGAGGGAGAAGAGGAAGTGCTTGGACAGTGGCGAGAGGAGGCTGGAGTGACGTTTTGTGTATGATGATATGGGATAAGAGACAGACGTGTGTGGTAAATGTCTAACAGCCATTAAGTGTTTAACAACTGGCTCACCAGGAAAGGTCAGTCCTGCTGGGAAGTGTTTGCCAATTCCTGTGGTGTCAATACTCCCCCCATCACTGATTTCAAGCTATCATTGTGACGTCAGTGGATCTGGGACTCGGAAGAGATCTGCACAGTGGGCTTGTATGAGCCAGGACCAGCCCGCTCCAGCACATCCCTGAGGCTTCAAGGTCATCATATATGGGCCTGAGGGAGAGTCCACGCACACTGACATGCTTCTAATCCTCCCGGGCCCCTCGAGGTAGGGACCCCATTGCTCCCATTTCATAGAGTGGGAGGCGGAGGATCCTGCCTGTGGTCACACAGCTATTGCGTAGCAGAGAGGGGCTCCAGCTTGGGCAGTCTGACTCGAGAGCAGCGGCTCTCAACCTGTGGGTCGCGACCCCTTTGGCGGTGGAACGACCCTTTCATGGGGTCGCCTAAGACCATCCTGCATATCAGATATTTACATGACGATTCATAACAGTAGCAACATGACAGTTATGAAGTAGCAAGGAAAATAATTTTATGGTTGGGTCACAACATGAGGAACTGTATTTAAAGGGCCAGGAGGTTGAGAACCACGGCTCTAGAGCCCAAGTTCTAACCATGATGACATTGTTCTTTTCCCACTCCAACGGGGCGGCTCTGTCCAGAGGCATGCGCTGCTCCAGTGGCATTCGCCGCCAAGCTCCAGCCCATTTCCAGGCGAATCTCCAGTTGATCTCTGGCTCTGGCATAGATCTCTGCTCCCTCGCCCTCCATCCCCAGCTGTTTCCCATCCCCATCCATGGGATTTGCTCTAACATTCCCCGTTGGGGTCAGCTGGCACAGCCATGGGACCTGGAGGCAGAGGCTGGCCCCGCAAGGCCAGTGGAGGCGGAGGCAGGTTATGGTGGTGGAGTGGGCACAGAAATGTCCAGGCCTGGAGTCTGTCACAGCCCAGATGTGGCCCTGGCACCCAGAACCAATACTAACAGCACACGTCTGCTATTAACAGTATAGGAACAATAATTTATGAAGAAATCATGAAGCCTTAAGTATGTAATATGGAGCATTGAAACCAAACAGTTGACTCTGTTTGGGAATGGAGGGAGGGAAACCAAGAAGACCGAAGGGAAGGGGAGGAAAGGCAGGGAATGCTGGAGGGTGTGTGGGGGCGGGGAAGGGAGTACATGGTCACTGGAAAATACATGGGAACCCAGGCTTGTGTCTAAGCCCCAGCGCTGTCACTTGTAGTGGGAGAAGGAATGATCATATCATTGATAATAATAGTAATCAAGATTATTATGTGTGAGTTATTGCAGTTATTCAGGTTCCTGGGGTTGTGCTTCTATAATATTTACTTCTCTATCATCAGGGCTGCTAGGGGGTTGAAGAGGTGAGAACTGGTATACAGAGGGTACTAGGGGCTGATCTGAGGGGAGCTCTGTCCCTTCCTGATGTGGCCATTTGCTGCTCGCCATTCAGGAGAGCTGTTTTAGAAGCTCACCAAGTGTGTGCATGTCCATGTACGTGGGCGAATGTATGTTTGAGGGCCAGTGTATGCACACCTATGTACATACATGTACCTGCATGCATGCATCTGTGTGTGTGTGTGTGTGTGTGTGTGTGTGTGCGCATGGCTCTCCTACTCTTCCCCTTTCCTACCCAGGGAGCAGCTGGCCAGAGGCTTAGGGGTGATGGAGAGGCAGGACTGCTGCAGATAGAAATGGAAATGAATTCAGCTCTGGCCCCATCTCTTTCAAGCTCCCTTGCACACAGTGGGAGCTTAATAAATACTTGATGATGGTTCTGCACCTGGGAAGCCAGCAGCTGTTCCCAACGCTGACTCAGAGCCCCGCGGGGCAGATCAGTTGGGGAGTGACCATGGGGGTCTTCAGTCTTCCTGCCAGACCCCCTGGTGACGCCACGCCCAGCTGGAGCCGTGTCCACTTCACACATCCTGCCTTTTCTCTGGCCTTTTCTCTGGCTCTTTTCCACCCATCATTTGAGCAACCTTTACAGAGCAACCACTTGGTGCTGAGCGCCATCGTGGGAAGGCACCCTGGGAGATGGTATAGGAGGTGCAGGGTCAGATTGAGCGGGGTTCAAGCCATAGCACCCTTAAGGACAAGCTGGGGGGCCTCGGGCAGGTTACTTATCTGCGCCTGAGTGGTTTCCTGTTTTGTTTTCACAGTGTTTGTCTGCAAAAGGAGGATGGCATTTTCATAGCGCTGATGTGAGGTTAGAAATAACAGAGGCAGGTGCACAGCTACCGCAGGGGTTCAGGAGGCGAGCCTCTCCGCCTGGAGGCAGGAGGGCGTGGGCCCCTCTGCTCTTTGACCTCGGAGTTGTTGCTCGACGTCTCTGAGCGCCGGCGTGTAAAGGAGGAGCACGGTGCTCACCTCCGAGGCTGTCTGGAGGATGTAAGTGGATAATACGTGTGAGACAACCTATGGCAGATCCTGGCCGCGAATAACTGTTTGTCTTCCCTGCTTCCTGCCCGCGAAACAGGGGGCACGGCTTCCCGGCTCAGGAGGCTCTCTGCCCCTCCTCCCCACTGCTTGCACCGCGTCCGGGGCTCCGGGTTTCTACCTGCGGGAGGAAAGGGGACGGCGGCTCCGCTCCCCGGCCGGGAGCGCAAACTACAGTTCCCAGCCGCCCCGTGCGGCCGCGGGGCTGGGAGCCGGGCGGCAGGCCCCGCCTCCTGGGCGGAGCGTAGCGGGGGGGCGGGGTTAGGCGGGGGTGGGAGGGTTAAGCCAAGCCAATGAGACCAGCTGCTAATAGGTGGGCTGGGCTTGCCATTTCACAGTGGCAGGAGGAGGAGAGCAAAGCTCTGGAGCCAGCGAGGAGTGGAGCTGAGCCCGGCCTCGCATGCTGCCAGAGGACCACCTCCCGAGACAGAGTTCTTCCCCCTCTTCTGCTCGCTCCCAGCGCCCCTGCCGCCCTCCCTTCCTGCCCAGTACAATGCATTCTTGACTGGCAGCGCCTGGACTCCTAGCAGCCCCGAGAGCCGGAGCAAGCCACAGGGAGGACGGGAGCCAGACACTCTGGTGGGAGCTCGGATGCCTGGCACTCTTTGAGGACATCTCTGGAGCAACGGTGGCTTTGGGGTGGGGGGTGGTGCTGCAGGCAACCCAGCCAGGCCCCAAGATGGACACTTCTGGGCACTTCCATGACTCGGGGGTGGGGGACCTGGATGAAGACCCCAAGTGCCCCTGTCCATCCTCCGGGGATGAGCAGCAGCAGCAGCAGCAACAGCCGCCACCAGCGCCAGCACCCCCGGCAGCCCCCCAGCAGCCCCCGGGACCCCTGTTGCAGCCTCAGCCTCAGCCTCAGCCTCAGCCTCAGCAGCAGCAGCAGCAGCAGCCACCGCATCCCTTGTCTCAGCTCGCCCAACTCCAGAGCCAGCCCGTGCACCCCGGCCTGCTCCACTCCTCTCCCACGGCTTTCAGGGCCCCCCCCTTGTCCAACTCCACCGCCATCCTCCACCCTTCCTCCAGGCAAGGCAGCCAGCTCAATCTCAATGACCACTTGCTTGGCCACTCTCCAAGTTCCACAGCCACAAGTGGGCCCGGTGGAGGCAGCCGGCACCGGCAGGCCAGCCCCCTGGTGCACCGGCGGGACAGCAACCCCTTCACGGAGATCGCCATGAGCTCCTGCAAGTACAGTGGTGGGGTCATGAAGCCCCTCAGCCGCCTCAGCGCCTCCCGGAGGAACCTCATCGAGGCTGAGCCCGAGGGCCAACCCCTCCAGCTCTTCAGCCCCGGCAACCCCCCCGAGATCGTCGTCTCCTCCCGGGAGGACAACCATGCCCACCAGACTCTGCTCCATCACCCCAATGCCACCCACAACCACCAGCACGCCGGCACCACCCCCAGCGGCACCACCTTCCCCAAAGCCAACAAGCGGAAAAACCAAAACATTGGCTATAAGCTGGGACACAGGAGGGCCCTGTTTGAAAAGAGAAAGCGGCTGAGTGACTATGCTCTGATTTTTGGGATGTTTGGAATTGTTGTTATGGTGATAGAGACCGAGCTCTCTTGGGGTTTGTACTCAAAGGTAGGGGCTGTGGTTTCTCTTTATACCTTGAACAAAAGGAATATATAGGTAGAGAGAGAGAGAGAGAATGATTGAGAGATTGATTGGGGAGAGCGGCGGTGGTGGTGGGGAGAGGCGGTTGCTCAATTATATTGAACACTCTAACTTCCCGTGGTTTTCCTTCTTCATCCTGGGAGAATTCATTCCTGGTTTTCTTGGTGGGAGGACATCCCCATGTACTGTGTCTAATTTGCAGACTCCGTGTTGGGGAGGATTAAAGAATCCCTTCTGAGAAATCTCCCCCCGGCCCCCCGCCCCCCCCACCCCGCCCGGCTCACCGGCACTAACGCATAACCCAGCAGCTTAACGCACCAATTAATTACACTCTGCCTGGGTGTGCTTGCCAGCTCCTGCGACTTCCCTCCTCTCCTCCCCTCCTTTCGCCACTCCATTTTCCCCGAGGATAAAAAAGAAATAAATGTCTGGGTGGGGGGTAGGGGGGCCACGCCAGTCCCTTCTCTCTCTGTCTGCTCCCTCTCTTCCCAAGTTTCTGTTTCCCTCCTCATCCCCGAGAGACTTAGGGCGGAATCCAAAAGCACCCGTGGCCCACGTCTCCCGGGGGCCTGGGATAAAAATACAGGTGGAGGAAGCGAGCGGCTCTTCCCTCAGGAAAGAGGGCTCAGAATAAACCTGCCGCTGCTCCTAAGCAGCCCCTGATAAAATGGCTACAGGTGTTCCCCGGGCAGAGCAGATGGGCACCGCCTTGGCACCAGCCTGGGGGTGGGGGGGAGCGCCTCTCCTTCGGATGGGATGACAAGGCTTCCCGGGCATCCCCGAGAGCCCGCTTCCCGCTCAGCCCCGTCCCCTCCCCTCCCGCCCCAGTGTCTCCTCTCGGGGGTAAATGAGGTGGAGTGTGTGTGTGTGTGTGTGTGTGTGTGAGTGCGCGCTGATGGAGCCGGCAGCGCCCACTTTCTCGTGGGGGAGCTGGCCCCGCGGCTCCAGCCTCGGTCCGGCTGGAGATGGAGGATGGGGGTCCCTCACAGGGGGGCTTGGAAACCGCGTCCTCCAAGGCGGTGGGCGTTGAGGAAGGTGGGTTTGTTCATGCTCCGCCTGCTGTGGGCTCAAAGGCTTGGAGACCCGGGGAGTCGCGGGCAGGTGGGTTTTTCCCATTTACCCCTCACCCCAATTTGTTGGTGTGTGTGTGTGTGCGCGCGCGTGCATGTGTGTGTGCGCCTCCTTGTTGCTGCATTTCTCACTTATTTGTCATTTTGGGCAGGGGGTGGCTGGGCAGGCTGCCTGTAGCTGGGAGGGGCTCAGCTGTTGGAGGTTTCAAATAGAGCTTGTTTCAGGCTGAGCACAGCTGCTGCGAGACTGTCACATTCCTTGTTGAAATCCAGCCGCTAAAACCTGGGAGGTGCTGATCGGATTTCCCATTCCCAGCCCGGAGCTCTAACCGGGGACGGGCAGACGGGCCGTTCTGGAAAGGGCTGGGGCAGAGCCAAGACTCCCAGGTGGAGGGTTCCCCGCAGGAACCTGGCCGCTCGCAGGGGCTCCCGGCTGAGCAGCTCCTAGAAGCTGCCTCCATCTAAATGCTCCAGGATTTGAATCCCTCAGCGCGCAGAAGCGAGTGGGGTTTCCCCCGGAATCGCAGTCACTTAGTCATTCCCTGTAATGAGCCTCTGAGTCTGCAGGTCCTTCTGCTCGCTGCCGACTCCCCTTCTGAGCCGCAGGGAGAGGGGGCTGCCACCCCCAGCGGGCTGGGCAGCCACCCTGAGCACAGCCCTGGCTCCCTCCAGTCACACCCCCTGGGGACCAGGGGCCCCTGCCGGGAAACGAATGCAGGCCCAAGTGCTGGGGGTGAGGGGAAGACAGCACCTCCTCTTTCAATGACCCCCGTGGTCAGCTCTTCCTAGAGACGGCCCCCCAGTGGGATCCGTGTGTGCACATTTGTTTTTTCATGCAATGGGGGGGGGGGGGTGGTCGCTGTGCAGCCAAGGGCTGGGAGCAGGTGCCATGCCCACGGAGTGTTCAGGGAGAGGGGCTTCCCCAGAGTCAGAGAAAGCGGGTTCTGGGGTGAAGGAAGGATGAAGTGACCCACGGGGCCAGGCTGTACCCTTTCGAAGATGGGGAGCCCCTGGTTGATGGCAGCACAGAGCGGGCAGCAACTGGGAAGGCCTTGCTCGCCTCCGCTGGTGAGACAGCCACTTCCTGTGCACCTGGGGTCGGCGCTGGTTATGAGTAGCAGGGCTCTCTCATTCCTCAGCCCCTCTGTCTGTCCGCCCATAATTGGGTCATTATGAAAGGAGGACGCTCTGGGTGTCTCCTCTGTCAGGCCTTGTGGACCCAGGAGGGGGTGAGGTGGCTACCCCTCTCTTCTCCTGTGGGCCAGCAGGGTTGTTTGAAAGACTCAGCCGGAAGTGTGAGTCCCAGCTCTGCCACTCCCGGTTGTGTGATCTTGGACAAGCCATGTAGCTTCTGCAAGCCTGTCTGCCCAGCCGCCAAGTGGGGAGAAGGGAGTTAGACTAGGCGTGGGGCGCTGCGTGCAGTGCCTGCTGGATAACCAGGGCCTATTGTTGTTATTAATAATGATGGTACGGACGAGAGGAAAAGGAATGTCTTTTTCCTGTTATCTCCTTCTGGCTCCCGAATTAGTTGGGGCCTTCAAGGATTGGGAAGGAAGACTTGTTGATGGAGTCGAGAAGTTGTATCTCGGAGGGAGAAGTTCTGAGAAGGGGCTAGGTCTTCTCACTGGCACGCTCTTGCCACGTGGGTCTGTTGTAGGGGAGGTGGACGTCTGTTCCCTGGCCTCGTGGGGGAACTGGCTGTGTTGTGACAGGGGGGTTTGGGTGAGAACGAAGAACCACCAACAGGGGGAACTCAGAGTTGGTAGTGGGCCTGGGGTGGGGTGGGTGATGGTTTCTTTTGCTGGAGAACTTGTGCCTCTGGTTGGCTCCGCGTGTCTGGAAGCAGGAGGATGGGTAATTCTCACCAGGTTGGGTAATTCTGCACTGATGGGGGCAGTTCCCACTCAGAGGGCCCTGGGGAGAGGGACACCTCCCCCCCTCCCCCCCATGTGACTAAAGACTACCAACCCTGGGCCTGAGCTGCTTTCGGAAGTTCTCTGCTTTTATCCATGGAGCCGTGGCCTTCCTGTGTGTCTGTGTTTGACTGATATCTGTTCCTGGTGGAGAAATCCGCCCTGAGGCTGGGCTCTCTTGAGATGAACATGGCATGTCCCTGAGCGCATCCAAAGTTAGTGCAGAAGGGAGCCAGGGAGAGGAGGTATGACATAGGGACAGAGCCATCCTGGCCCCCCTTCACCAGCCCTCTGTGAAGTTGGGGAAGGAAGATGGGCTGAGGCGGGGCTCAGATAGCAGGAGAGCGGTTCATTCTTGTGAGGCCACACTCACAAGATGGCCCGACCTGGCTGCTAGTGCTTCTGCACCCCTGAGCTGAATGAGGCGGCCAGGTTTGTTTGTTTGTTGGTCATGGGTGAGTTCACCCGAGGGCTTACACATCATGACGCGGCCAGGCTGAGAGAGCCTGTTGAGGAATCGTGGTGACGGTGTCTCTAGCACGTTAGTGTCAGTTGGAGGAGGCAATGAGGACTCGGGGAGGCCTTCCTGGCATTCTGTATTTTCTCCCGGGGCTGGTTGGAGGCACACCCACTCCATCGCCTCACTCTGCCTGCTGTGTTTTCTCTACGGGATTGGGATCGGGAGAGAGTTGGGGCTGGGCCCGGCTCGGCCTGTCCTCCCCTCCTCCCCAGGCTCTGGCCTCCTGCACCTCCCCCTGCCGTCCTGCTGGTGGCTGGGCTGGTACCTCTCTTCAGTCTGTCCAGCTGGCAGTCCCAGGCGGACCCTGTTTCTCAGGGGCCTCATGAGTCATCTCAGGGGCGGCTGGGAAATGCTGGTGCAGCAGGTGGCTCTGTTTCCAATTTTCACAACCTCAAACCGCTCTCCACCCCTGGCCTCACAATTTATCTGAGTTTCACTTCCTCGGCCCCACCCTGTGCCCACCCCTGCCCGCTCCACCAACTTCCTGCCCCTCTGCTCTGCCCGCTCCCCCTGCCTGGCCTTGTTACCCAGGCCATGGCACAGGAGCTGCTGTGGCAGTCCTACCTGGCTGTCCTGTCTCTCCCATGCATGGCTGTCTTTCTCATCTCCAGTTACACCTCCATCTTCAGACCACCGCGTGGGAAGCCCCCTGAAAAGGACTGACTTCTCTGCACGCCCAGGGGAGCGTGGCTCCTGACCATTCACTCTTCAAGGCGGGGTGGGGGCCCCTCAGGGCCAGCTCATAGGGGTCCGTGATCCATCCCAGCCTGTAGCCTGCGGTGGTGTAGGATCCCTGGTTCCAGCTCCCCTGACCCCTGCCCTGCTGGCCATGGAGGCCTTGTTGGCAGAAAGGCAGAGCAGCAGCTGGGCTTAGCTGGGCGCATGGCCTCACCTGCCAGACCCAGGAGCTGCCTGGGGCAGGTGTGTGGCTGCGGGGCATGTCCCATTGTCTGTGGTGTCAGGCATGTTGGGAAAGTAAGAATAGGCCAGACCCTTTTCATGGACCCTCCACGTGGGAGGACCTGTAGGACCGGGTTGCAGAAGGCAGGAGATTCTATAAGCCATTGGCTACAGGCAGGAGCGGAGAGCCAGGGACCATGCCCCCCACTTTCCCCCCAAACATTGTATCTTCACGGGTCACAATGAGTGTCTTGGCCTAAGGAGACAAGTGTAGCTCTGGGAAGGCGAGAACAAGGCCCATCCAGGTTGCTGGCCACTTTCTTTATAACCTTGTGGACAGTCTGCCATGAATTAACCATATGTAACCCACAGAGGGGACAGCTCACTTTTATATATGCTTCTCCTTTGCCTGTCATCACACTATTTATAACTGTCCCGGGGAAAGACTTCATAATGCGCCCCGACTTCCCTTCCCCGCAGGCGGCATGGCCTGCCTGGGCGCTGGCATCCCCGCGGGGCCTGTATCTGCTGCCCGGGCTAGTGAGCGAGCTGGGGTGGCCTTCC